AGGTAAACACAAATAGTAGTTTGTAACGAATGTGTAGCCTCACTCTGGACAAAACATACAGATTATGGTGAAGAGATAAGGTTATCACCAATGACTAAGTATAGTAGCAAACGGCTTAAGTCCCACCTAGTGCCGTTCACACTTCAGACCCATACTATTTCGTTTGATAAAATAAATCGCTTGCCAGAGGAGCATCTAGAACTAGGATAACCCTCATGTTCCCTAAATGTGGATATATAGCAAAGCAAGCCGTCTGCTACCGAAGTGTTTTCAGACCACGAATAAACTTAAGGATACCAGAAAACTTAATCAATATCAAAGTTAGAAAAAGTTCGCAGGGACGGGTGAATTCACTCATTTAGAATTAGTCGAAAATACTGAATCAATACAAAATAGGATATTTAAAAAATTCATCTAACAATAACATTCTTATAGAATGTTTATGAGAATTTGATGCAATTTAGAGTGAGGGTTTAGGGACTGTATGAAAATAGTAATCATTAAAGATGCAGATAGAAGTCCTTTTATGGGCAAACTTGAATGTAGTGGTTTAATAAGAGCATAAAGCAAATTCTAGAGGATCGGGAGAGGAAAAATATGATTGCAAACGTGGCATAAAATAAAGAATATGAACATGGTTTAAATGTGCTGTGTCCACAAATCATTTACAAGGGAGATAAGCATCAGTGATAAAGAGTTCGAAAACTATTTTTAGTCGCACAGACTAACTACTTAAAAGTGTCTTGGTGTGTACATTTTCCTAATCCTGCTCAGGCAAGTACAAAAGAAAGAAAAATTATTTACCAGTGATAACTTGTTTTCCACGACCCTTGCCATCTTTTGCACCTTCGATAATTCCGGGCAAATCAAGCAGCTGGATTTTGGCACCCTTGCAGCGAATGATACCAGGGACCGTAGTCAGCGTTGTGAATTCGTAGGCAGCTACCTCCGAATAGACACCAGACAAATTGGTAAGGAGAGTAGACTTGCCAACGGAAGGAAAGCCGACAAAACCAATGCGTGCATCTCCTGTTTTGGCGACATCAAAGCCTTCACCGGGACCGCCACCTAGGCCTCCTTTTGGTTCTATTAACTCGCGACGAAGCTTAGCCAGACGTGCCTTCAAGAGACCAAGATGGCCCATTGTGTTCTTGTTTTTTTGAGTCCGTGCCATCTGAATCGGAAAAAAATGATGCTCCGCGAAACTAAATACCACAGCGGGGTTAAGAACTACTTAGGGAAGTATTGAAATATTCCTCGATTAAGTTTATGAAGACTCTTCGGGCCTATTATCAAGAGCTTTTGAAAACATAAGATATTTCATGCCTGATAGAAATTGCCCTCGCTAAAAAATATAGCACTCTTTGAACTTTATTCATAAAAGCTATTGCATTAAAATGAATTTAGCCCAAAACTAAAATATCCATAGCAGTCGCTAATTTCTATAAGCAGATTAACAGCTCGTGAAAAAGTGAGGTTTGTTAATAACAAGTTGATTGATAATAGGTACTAATATAAAAAATGGCATCCTAAGGGCGAATACTTTAGGCCCCTAGACTAGAAGGATACATAAAATTATATAGAGGACGCATAATGAAAACCAGAATTTATCTATTCAAAAACGGAGTAAGGGCTAATCATTAAGGATAATATTTACCTGAAACAGATGAAATGAATTCCAACAAAAAAACGAAAATATCGATTTTAATAAAGTTTTGTTGGCTATGATATTGAATATAAATATCATTGTGAGTAGAGGATGAGATAAAGCTATAAAGTGTAGGAATAAATTATAAAACAGAATGAGGGGGAACAATTAGTGCTTGCTCTGATTTTTTAATTCTAAAGCATTAAAATTATCAAAAATGTATCGCAGACGCTAAAAGGAGTCGGGATAAGTCTAAATTCTCAAAAAACGAACATTATAACTCGTTAAAAGTAGCTTTGTTCAGGATAAAACGATATTAGGAATGGATAAGAAGATCACGGACAGAGTGATAAAGATAACCAAAAAGACTTGAAAGAGCCAAATGCTTAAAAATAGCGAAATTAAAAAAAAAGCCAAATTCAATACTCT